TTTTTTTATGATTTTTAGGATTATCCATAGCACCAACCATACAAGTGTGGTGATCTAATATTTAAATAGAAATGGAAAAAATATGAATAATATTAAAGTAAAAATGTAGTTGACCTTATCCCCACTACATCCAACTAGAATGGCTCCATTGGTAACCTCCAAGTGCAGAGGGGTCAGGTTGTTTGGGAACCATTAATGTCTGCACCTAGTTTCATGGCAAGCCCTCCAGTAGTTGGTAAGATATTTCACTAAAAGACAGACATGTCAACCTCATGGTGGCACTAGACAAAAAGTCAAGGGATCACCAAAGTCAGTGGGATTCATTTTCTAAGGACCATGAATGTCCATTAAAATCCATCTTATAGATGTTGAGATATTTCTATCTGGACCAAAGTGATTTCAGATGTCTGATGTGTTCCAAAATCCACCAGCACAGAGTGAGTCTTTTCTTCTTTAGAGGCCCCAAAAGAAGGTCAAATCGACAAATGGGCATGGGCGTTTTTGATATTGTTCAGGTCATTACAGATGTACATGAGATACAGTTGTGCTCATAGGTTTACATACCCTGGCAAAAAGCCTCCAGTTCCTGTAAATTCTTGGGCTGTCTTGCATGAACTGCACGTTTGAGATCTCCCCAGAGTGGCTATTGAGGTCAGGAGACTGAGATGGCCACTCCCAGAAACTTCACTTAGTTCCTGCTGCAGGTCGACTTGGCCTTGGCCTTTTTTTGGCTGTGTTTTGGATCGTTGTCATGTTGTAACGTCCAAGTACGTCCCATGCGCAGCTTCCGGGCTGATGAGTGCAAATTTTCCTCCAGTATTTTCTGATAACATGCTGCATTCATCTTGCCATCAATTTTGACCAAGTTTCCTGTGCCTTTGTAGCTCACACATCCCCAAAACATCAGCGATCCCCCTCCGTGTTTCACAGTAGTAGTAGTAGTCAACTTGTGTGCATGTTATCAGACCAAAATCTCCAGGGTATGTAAACTTTTAAACAGGGTAATTTCTGTTGTCATTATAATTTAAAAAGAGCTCTGGGGATATTCCTGATCTAGACAGGATTTGGCGGAAGTGGCGATGAAACCAAAATCATGTGGCTACTTTGCCTGTCCCTGTGATGAACAGAGGGTCCTGGGAGAGGGAGATGTGTTGAGGTAAACCGGACTGGTTGCATTTAAGGTGGTAAATGAGAGTGTCAAAAGAATAACTGGAAATGTCAGAAACGGTTGCATAGCAAGAACGATCACAGCTGAGGTTGAAGCAATTAACTCAGAGCAGCACAAAAAGCTAAAGAATGCCAGTAGGAACATGGATTCTAGGACCATATTGATGTATGAGGATGAGTAGCCTGCATGGAGAGGTCTGATGCAGCAGGAGGTATGAAGTTTAGGCGTAGGATGTGCTTCAGCCTTTCGGAGACCTTTAATCAACATGCTGATATGTGAGTGAGACATGGCCTGACACAGTGCCCCATAGGACAGTTTGATAAAAAAGTTAATTCTGCTGATTTAAACGTGGATGGTGGAAGATTTGATCTTAAGAATGCAATGGGCGAATGTGATGAAGCTAGAGACTGTCATAAGAGGCATGAAAAGTGAGAGAAAGAAAGAGAGAAAGAGAGTTTACGGGGAGCAACACTGTTGCATGGCGTCTTGTGAAGAACTGACCAGATTTTCCATATAAAAACACAGCCCATTAAAAGAAAAAAAAGGCAACCTGTTTAAAAATGCTTAAAAATGTTAACAATAAAAAAAAGCTAAATAAAATAGTTCCAATCAATCAGTGAGAAGAAAATAATTAATAAGTGACCTTTAAAATAATATTGCGACAGTTATACAATTGTCCAGTAAGGGGGAGGGTTCTACTTATGTTCAAGAAAAATGCGACAGCGTATCCGTTGTGTTCCGTTAAGCCACTCTGTCTCGACCCTTTGGAGAGAAGAGAGCACCCCCAGTCGTGGGGTTCAAAAACCAGGGGACACACACACGTCGTTTTGGTGTTAATTGTGTAATAACACCAGAAGATCAATAAATTGTTTGACTTTTGTGTCTAAATGTTGATGTTCAGTTTATGTATCTATAATAATGAAACACACACAGTATGTGAGGACAATTACAAATTTAAAAAACCTATACAGATTTGTTGCACCACACGAGGTATGTTTTTTAATTTCGTATTTATAATTATAATGTAAGTCACTTAGATATAACTAACCCTTTTGCACAGAGAACGTTAAATGTGCAGAGCCTGCTGTACAAATGTCTGATTGTTTCCATTAGTGTCATTCAGCTGTTGGTAGAATAAGTCCTTTATTATCAGTCAGTACCTCTATCCCTCATACTGCAGCTTTGTGCATCTGCAGCCTCTGATTTTACACACACACTGAACATAATTTGACCCACATACAGAAAATCTGATGAAGTATTGAAGTCGTCCGACCATCAGTGATCTCGGGACATTTTTACTTTAAGCTCATCTCCAAATTCCATTTTCTCTCTGCTTCCCAGGTGCTGAATATTGAACTCCATTCTTTTCTCAATCTAAGTGTGAGATGTGGAAAGTTTTCTGTGTTTTAAATTAGATCATTTCCACATTGTTACATTTTAGGGCCGTGAAGATGTGAAATATAATGCTAGCTTAGACTGAATATCAGGACTGGGTGTTAATCTTTTAGGTTTCTGCACCAGTGTGGTTGTTCTTGGAGATGACCACTAGATGATGTTGCTACCATTATGATATATCTTCAGTTGCGTACCTCGACATCTGTGGGTGTTTCGACCCTTTAACAAAAGATTCCCTCAGTCGAGGCAGGCCTACCACACGCTGATCAGACCTTATTTTAGTATTATTCCTTCTTATATGTCTACTTTAAATGTTACAGGGCTCTTATGAGTCCTGTTTTGTAAAAAAGAAATCAGAGACAGTCGTGTTTTAAAAGTCATCAAATATTGTGTCTAAGGTTTTAAGAAAACAAAACTTAAATCATAAAAGGTACAATGTGGCCTTTTCACATTTAAATAAATACGGTAATTAACTATTAACTATGTGGCATCTACATCTACACACATATGCGCTTCATCATTCACTTAC